GGTACCTCCTGGCGCCCACCTAATGCTGACCGAGTGGTAGGGGACGCAGGCACCTCCTCTCCCCCTCGGGCCGCCTGCGGAAGTGAGATGTGGGTGCCCCTTCCCCCTGCGCACCCACCTGGCTCACCCATGGGTGGCGGGCTCGGTGCGCCCCCCCCTCCCTGCCAGCTGCCTCCGGCCGGGGAGACGGCGTCTGGGATCCCATGTCAGTCCCCGCACCCAGTGCAGGCCAGGGCGTCACCCCCAGGGTGCCGCTCCCACACTGGGGGGGCCTCCCCACCTCCAGCGATCACTTCCCATGCCCAGCTGGTCTGGGAGAGGTCTGCGGGCGTCCCGGCCAGGCCCAGGCCCTGTTGCTGCCTGGGCCTGAGGGCCCCGGGGAGGAAGGGGCATTGTCCCCGAGGGCCACCCCCACGGGGCCCCTGTCGCAAGCCAGCGGGCACCTAGGCCGGGCTCGGGGCTCTGTTTACTGCCAGCCATCGCTGTGGAGACGGGCATGGGAGGGGGGGCGGGAGCTGCTGGCTGGAAACGCGGAGCCAGTGCAGGAAAGAGGAGCCATCGGGGACACTGAAATTTTAATTCGTGGGTCACTCGGGGGGTGCTTATTGTTGGGCTCTGACTGGCCGCGCCGTGGCCAATCAGCACCCTGGCCCAGGCTGGCCGGCCCTGCTCAGTGGGCGGCCCGGAGGGTCACCGAGGGTCCTTTGCTCTGGTGGGAGACTGAGGCCAGGCCGCGGGGATCTGGGGCCACCGGGTCCTTGGTACTCTGCAGACTGAGGGCTTTGGCTCATTTCCCTCTTCCCGGGAGGCTGTGAGGCCGCCTGGGCGGGAAGGCAGGGTGAGAGCCTCGGACAGGGGACACTGAGGCACAGGCAGGCCCAGAGCAAGCCAAGGTCACCCGGCTGGGGCGCCGTCTGACCCGCTCCGTCCTGCGGGGGCACGGTCGTCCACGCGGAGGGCCCCAGCTGAGGCGGGGGTGCCTGCCCGCCATCCCCGAGGAGGGCCAGCGCTTGGTGAGGTACGCATTGTCACCGAGCACCTCGGGCTCACGGCTCCGTCCAGAGGTGCTGTTGCGGTCAGAGACCCCTGCAGGCCCTCAAGGTCATACAGCAGGGGACACGGACCCTGGCCTCCCTCCTCCCACCGCCGGTCACCATCCGCACCTTGGCCCTCGGAGGTGGGTCAGGCTTAGGGGAGACCGAGGTCACCTTCCAGCGCCGGGACTCCCAGGAGGGGGCCTGTGGGGGCCAAGTGCAGGCGCAGACCCCGGTGCCCTCCACTGGAGGGAGCGCCCGCAGCTCAGGGCGGGCCGGGGACTGGTGGGCGCAGGGCACCCGTGACGCTGGGACACCCCACTCCCGCCACCTGTGCTCCAGGCACCTGCAGACCGCCCCCGCCCCCAGCAACCGGCTCCCCCGGGGCCTGCGGGCGGTCACGTCCCTAGGCCATCGCAGTGTCCCCAGCAGGACAGAGGGGACATGTTCTTGAGCCCCACGGGGCCGAGCCACAGTGTGCTCCGTCGTGCCCGGTGTCAGGGCCTGGCGGCCTCCTGCATCCTCGTCCCAAAGCCCCCCACCTTCCCAGATGGGAGCCTGGCCTCTGCCCTAGCCTGGGCTCCCGAGAGGCCCCGTGGCTGGGCTGGGTGGGGGGACTTCATCCCTGCTGGGACCTTGGGAGGAGGAAGCCCTGGGAGGACCAGTTCGGCAGGACCCAGCGCGGGCCTGTGTTCACATTCCAGCTGTGCTGTGTGACCCTGGGCAGGGCGCGTCCCCTCTCTGAGCCTGTCTTCAGCCTACTAAATGGGCCGTGGTCACAGGGCCTGCCTGCCAGGGCCTCCCAGGTGATGTGTCACGGGGCGGTTTTCCGAAGATGGGTTCGAACTCTTCACCCCCCACACCTCTCCCCAGCCCCCAGCCCTCGGGCCGAGCCTTGAGCTCAGGACACCGAAGCACAGAAGCGTCCCGCGGAGGATCTGGCTCTGGCGCAGAGCATGGCCGGAGGCCCGGCCCCTCCATCTGTCCCCCCAGCAGGCTGTGGACGGCCACTCGGTCTCTGGAAGCGGTCTCCACCCACGCCTTTCTGGTTTGACTGGAAGAGGAGGCCCGGGCCCACCTCCCTCCAGGATGTAAGCAGAGAGGATCTGGCTGGACTCGGCAGGCCTGGCACCCCCTCGGCGCCCCCGCACACCTGTGCCGGCTGGGCTGGGGGCGTGCAGAAGGGGTTCTCACCTGGCCCAGCAGAGGGTGGGGACGGGGACGGGATTCTGGGCAGTCTGGCTTTGCTTACCCCCAGTGACGGGAGCCTCACCCCTCCACCTCCGTGGGGACGGCTCCGGCCGCCCAAGCCCTCCTCTTGGAAAGCGGCCCTGGTCTCTGGCCTGGGCTTCCTGGCCCGTGACAGGACGGAGTGTGGGAACAGGGTGGGCCCTGGGCCCACCTGCCGGGGGGTTCAGATGGGATCCCGGCCCACCCACACACACACACGCTTCCCACTGGGCCCGAACG